AAACTGGGTCTTTTCAGCCTGGAGAAGAGGAGACTCAGAGGGGATCTGTTGGCGACATACAGGTATGTGAGGGGATGCCACATGGAGATGGGTAGAGACCTGTTCTCCCCTGCAGAGGAAGGCAGGACACGCTCCAACGGAACAAAGCTCAGGGAACCTTGGTTCCATTTAGATGCCAGGAAGCACTTCCTGACAGTTAGGACCCCAAGGGTGTGGAATGGGCTTCCACGAGAGGTCGTTGAGGCCCCATCGGTGCGGGTGTTCAAGGATAGGCTGGATGTCCACATGGAGGGCATGTCATGAGCAGAGCCGGCTGGTGCCGGAGGTCAGACTAGATGGCCCAGGAGGTCCCTTCTGACTTGCTCTGTTTTCTATGTTTCTATGTTTTCAGCTAGGAGGGTATCTTGGAGCATTTGACCCAAAGCAAAAGAAACCATTAGAGGTTTGTAATAACAACAGTGTATTTTGAGTCCTTAGGAATTGTCCCTAAGAAGGTTTTTAAAAACCCAAAGTAATATTGCTAATCCTGGATGTATAAAACGTATCTTCAATAAATGATTGAATAGCTCATCTTGTCTCAAATCTTGGTGTGTATCTTATCCATAATTGTTCTGGGGCAGATGGTAGCCATGAGATATTTAGTGATGGGAAGGAACAACTATGGGAGATACCTTGCTTATATACTGTCATGTGCTACCAGGTGTTTACCTAGGAACTACGCCATATAATATGTGAGACATAATTAACCTATGTATATATGTTCCTATGGCAAATTGCTATTATGTTCATACAAAAGCAAACAAATAAAAAGCCTGGAAAGCAAGTAAATAAAACAAATGAATTTGGTGTAAATCAGAGCAATGTTGCTTATGTATTCACAACTGAGACTACCATGAGCACCATTCAGTCAGCACTTTGAAATACAAAATTCTTAACAGTTTTTGTTGATAGGGCTGAACTCCAAGCCATGAGAAAACCTACATACATGAAAACATGCCATTATCTGGCACTTTACCAAGTAATTAGATTATACATTTTTTAAATTATGGTGAAGTTCATTTGGTATTTGACACATATTTAAAAATGTCACCGAAGTCCTTCATGGAATAGGGAAAAAAACAGGGAAAAAGAGAGTAGGAAATGAAACACTTGTCCAATGCAAATTCTCTGATTCCACATATATAGTAAATGTAACAAAGTATTGCTATCTTAGATTAAAACAAAAGATGGGCTAACAGCATACCTTTTAGAGAAAACATGCATGCAAAATGGAGAGGAACCTAATTGCTTTTTGGAGGACTATAGCCGTGTCAACAGAAGGTAATAATCTAGAGGAACTGGAAAACTCTTAAAGGAGGCACTCAGAAAATGACCCTGCACTCCATTTATGCCTCTTGTCAAGGTGCACATCTTTGCATCTAATACAGATGTCTTAGTTCTAGCTCTGTAGTAGTCAAAGTACTTCCCCAGTGACTGCACGTTTGTGACAGGTGTTAGACTCAGTGTAGACCTCAGCAGAGTTTCTACCTCCTTGTGCCAGCAGAAAATTAAAACTCTGCTAGTCTTGCATACTCTGCCAGGATGTGACATCACAGATCAGTTACAAACACAGACATCATTCTGGAAAATTTTAGCGCTGAGAATGCTCCTGAAGGTCTTGGCAACCTGGGTGCTTGGAAAAAGATAAATCAAAGGACGAACTATTGAGAAGTTCATATGTTTCAGGCACAAAATAGCAAACCAGCTGCTAAAGGATCCCTCCAGCAGAATTGGTACAAGCACTCCTCCTGCCCAAGCTCCTCAGCACCTGGTGCATGCAGGTATGCCACTTCTGGTAAAGGAGATAGCACATAGCCAGCAACCTAAAAGAGCATCTCTAACACCTTTTAACATCAGAAAACACTATTAGTCAGTCTTCAAGGGCAGCCCCACATGGAATGTATAGTAATCAAACTTAAACATTACCAGAGCATAGATTACTTAAAGCAAGCTGTTCCTGTCCAGATAGGGGTAGATCTGGGCCACCAATTGCTGCTGGTAGATGGCATCCCATGCCATCTGAGACTCAAGGGACAAAGATGGCTCAGGGAAAACCACTAAGCAAGGAACCTACAATTTCAAGGGCAGTACCAACCTTGAACTCCTTCTGTCAAAGGAACTACCCACTAACAGCATCTCATTCTTGTCTGGATTGAGCTTCAGTTTGACAGTACACCTCATGAGCAAGTTATCAGTAAGCATCCCACAGAGTGCACAACTGACATTTGCCCCAGGATTATAAGCCTCTTTTAGTAGCTGTTAGGAGGTTTTAAAGTAATCTAACAGGATTTGTAGTGGCAAAAAAGGTCAACTTGGGCAACTCTGAGTTATAAGGGCACAGAGTTCCTTAGACCCTGAAATAACAGAATTTGTTGTGTCCCTCTTGTTTTTTAAAGCAGGTCATTAAGATCACATGAATGAAATTATTCCTATTATGGTAGCATTGAAGAAACCATATTGCATCTTAAGTTCCCTCATGAATCTGACTGGTTGAATAAAAATGAATTATTTGTAATGGGGAATAGATTTCTTTATACTTGAAAGCAAAACTAATCATTAAATGCAAGAACCCATAATGGTTTGGATCTAGTTGTGCCCTTACTGTAGAAGTAAACCTCTTACAATCAAGGAAAGGCTGTTCCCAGCTGAATGGGAGAGTTTTACATGGAAAAAATAACCCCCACATTAAAAGAAGTTCTTTTGTTTGGACAATTCCTTTTAAGAACTGTATAACTATGATGATGTATATGCATCTTTTTATTCACCATGTTTAACATGCTATAATACAACGCTTGATTCATTGTGCCACTCTGCTAGGACTGGCAAAGGGATTCACAGTTTATATTGTTCTTCTACTCACAAAGCTTTAGAGTCAACCCAGAATATACTCTCTTACTCCATTCTTGCCAGGTTTGTTCATACTGTTGTCATATAGTGGCCTAAGATATTGCTGAGAAAATGATATAAATTTCTTAATTTGCAAGTTAAGGCAGCAATCCCAGTCACATTTCCTGAAATTACGACCCACTGAACATAATGGGACTTACTTCTAAGTAGGAATTCTGATGTTATTAACATACCACTTGTGTGTACATGCATCCATATATATGTGGGTATATGTTTATGGGGGTGTAGAAATGGGGAGAGCATTTGCATAATAGCTGATATATAAATGGGATATTAGAAATTATCTGTATCTCTTTTTTCCGCTTTGTAAATACTGCTGCATTTCCAAAGTCATGTTTTCCTTTTTTTTTTTTTTGGGGGGGGGGGGCGGTGTTCATTGAATATAGTAAAGCCTATTTATCTAATAGGTGGCATATGTTTTAGAGAAACACACAACATTCTCATTTCCTCTAGATCAATCAACCATGAAATAATTAACTGAACTTTTTGTTTTTCCAGCAGATTTTAAAGAAATACAATACAATTGAATTTGTCCAGGTTTTTAAGTGAGGAGATGCGGGGCGGGGAGACATAAAAGATGTGACCTAAGCATTTTATCTGGCCACATTCTCTTTTAACTGTTAAAATATCCTGAAGCACTTGATCACATTGCACTTTAATTTTAAAGCCATGTGTTCTATTAGTGAAGGGCACATGTTATTGATTTGCACTCAGAGTTCCAGTCTGTTTACCAGAACGCAAAGCTGGCATGTACAGGGTCTCATCTAGGTCAAAAGGTCTAGAGTCGACATCTTTCTGAAACTTTACCCTTGTGAAAACTAGAAGCTCTGATTAGCCCTTCCAACAGCCAATTGTATGGTTTCTTACTGCCACTGATTATATTAGTTTAGCTGCGCAGACACTTAACCTATTAACATGATGGTTTGTTTATTTAATGGCAGCTGCTGTCCTCATAGGAGCTGGGCCAGACCAGTGCAGTGCATCCTGAAGGGAATTTTCCTCCACTTACTTAATTTCTGAACATCTTTTCACACATTATTTTTTCAGGTGTATGGCTGAAATTTTTTTAATGTAAGCTTCAACTATAACAAGTATGCTTACAAGCATGTTTCATACAGGTACATTTGTCAGAGGGTAGTATCAGGTGGGACCCCTGTGTTTTTGCCAGTTCCATTGCGTAAAGCCAACTCACCACTTGTGTACAGAACTGAGGACTTCATAAAGCAAGCTCCCAAATAGGCTTGCTTTATAGATCAGGACACTGGCAGATCTCCATTCTGTGAGTTTACTGGCATGCCCCACTCTAGCATTTCCATTTGTTTTTGTGCTTGTCTGAAGCAAGGCTTCAGAACCCAGAACACTCAACTGGAACTAGAATTGACTGCAGGTACAAGTTGCAACTCTGAGTTAGATTCCATATATGACATAGAAATTATTATATGAAACAACCCTTATAAGATGCCCCTGTAAATATTAAATCCTAAACCTGAATATCACCAACATTTGTAACATGTTGATTTCAGTTCGACAAGCATGTTAATTTCTAGCTGCTTGTACACAATGGGTTAAATCTCACAAGTGCAATGTGAGCTGCCCACATATCCATTCCAATGGGTTTTTCAGTCCTTGGGATAGAATGTTAAGGGTGCACAGAGGATGAAACTGCCCCCCTTCTTGGTTCTGTAGCTAGAAGCAGTTCTGTCAGCAGAATGACACTATTGAATTTAACTCCCAGGAACTATTTCAGTTTCAAAAGGCATTGGGGGTGGGGAACAGATTGATGGTTGCTTACCTCTTTATTTTGGCCAGTGCACTGCATCTATAATTAAGCCTGATGTGAGTTTTAGGAGCTATCAGTGTGCCTTGGAAGCCTTGGGATATGTTGAGGACAGGTAACACAATAAACTATCAATGGCTCATATTAACACCTTATCAGTGATTGATGTGAACTAGAACATTTGTTTTTGTTAAAAAAAAGTTAAACATCAACTGAAATTTGACATATGTGGAAGGAATGATAAATTGGTGGATAGTGCAAGCATAAAATAAAATAATAGATGCTTTGTCTTGCCAGAAAAGCCCTTTATTTGCTTATGTAAGCCCTGGAAATCTGCATGAAAAATCTAAAAGCCTACAAAGATGAACTGATGCATTTTTACCAGAGGACAGGATGTACAGCAGTTTTTAGGACTGTGTTTGCCTTACAACGTTTGGAAGACCCTGGTCAGTATCTGATGGTGCCATTCTACAAATTCAATTACCGCTAGTGGAGTGCCACTGCACATTTGTTGTGCAAGCTAACACTCATTACATTTGTGCAACCTGTAAGTAGTTGCACTAGTTGCACAGGAGCTCTATGCAACAGGTTGTACAAATCTGATGCACAACTGCTTGTGTAACTGTGTATGCATAAACAGAACTTTAGTTGGATTTTTCTCCTGCATGTACTCAGAACTCAGTTTCTGCTAGCACAACTTCATTTGCATTAACTGAGTAATTCAGTGGGATATTGCTCACTGGCCCCATTTAGATCATGAATGAGGGGGAGGAAAACAGCAATCTCTTATCTTCCCCTTCCCCTCCTGAGATGTGCAGTACTTAACTAATAATTTCTAGGTTTAATCAAATCCAGGTTTGCTATTGTGTGCTAAGCAAACAACAATGATTTGAGCATACCCCCAAAATAGCATTATAAATCATGGTTTGATCTGGATTTGTAAACCTAGTTTGTATGGAGCACTCAGATAGATATTTGTTGTTTTGGCCATAACTCAATTCATTGATTTGACTGAAAGAAGAATCAATGGGTTAAGTCCATGCAGATGATGGAAGGTGAGAGCACTTGTTCACAATCATGGTTTGGAGATCAGCTGAATGCAGCCATTATTTCTGCACATAATTAGCAAATAGTTGTTCAAGGATAGGCTAGACATGCACATGGTGGGCATGTCATGAGCAGAACCGGCTGGAGCCGTGGGTCAGACTAGATGGCCCGGGAGGCCCCTTCTGATTCACTCTGTTTCTATGTTTAATAGCAAGTATATACACATTCACCACATAAAGCCTCTTTTGCCCATAAACAAGCCCTAACCCTATACATAGGAAGTATGTATAGATGGCATCTCCCAAGGTGCTTACTTATTTAATTGTACCTTGGATACTTGTCTTATATTGTGTTTTAAGTGTTGCCTTTTATACATAGCTTGCTGCATGTGGCCATCACCATGCCTATTAAAAAAGTGGGGGAATGAACAGTTTTTGTTACACTTAGCAAACTGCTATAGAAAATTATGAAAGTTTAAAACAGACACATTTAGCTTGTTTATAATCATTTCCTCACTTCTTTCCCAACATTCAACAATGAGTTGGCAGGAGTGTGGTCCATGGTAGGCCCAGGAGGGGAGAAATTGGCCCATGGATGGCCCAAAATTGCCCATCCCTGTTGTAGAACCTTTTTACCCAAAGATGGGAAGAAAATAATTAAATACATCTTTCTTTATCATTCTGTTTTTAGCTTAGCCATATCATCACCTTCCACATAGCCTAGATTTAGAGACGATCAGTCAGTTGATTGTTAGAGGTGGCATTCTAAAGCAGTGTCACTTGAGAATCACATGGAAACCATAAAAAGTTTCAGCAGTTTAATTTTATATGATCAAGAAAGCATCCAAAAATCTGCCATCCCCTAGGATTTTCAAGACTCTTGTGGATAAGTATTTTTAAGAACAGTATTTAAAAGCAAAAGCCTCTTTAAAGCATTTCCATAAATTTACACGCAGCTAAATACTTGTGTGCTAAGTAAGAGCAAATAAATACTTTAAAGAGAAAACAATGCCTAAGCTAACAGAAACTTTGCTGTCTACTTCATAATATCTTGTGAAGTTTTTGAAACTGAGGGTTTTTGAAGTAACTAATTGTTTTAATATAGTGTGAATTACCTAGAATTAGAAATGAATTTTAATTCTTACTTTTACTCCTTCAACTGGAATTATAGCTCTTTTAATCTCTTGAATTTACCATTTTTCTTCTGTTGCCATAGTGAAATCAGGTAGCACGAGCAAAGCTGCAAGGCTTTTTCCCCCCTTCCCTTTGAACTTGGTTAAAAATAATGCTTAATCTATTAGACGTGCTTTTAAAATATGCTTTAAAATGTAAATTTAAAAGTAGAGCAGGTGGAGAATCTAAAGACTGGCAGGTTTAGGAACAGGAATCTTATTTATCCACAGGATGTATACATCTTATGCAGGTTCAAAGAAAGAATTTGTCCCTTTTGCAGTGGCTTTTATCAAGTAGGATAGTTTGTAAAGGCGAAAATTTTGCTTGTTTGAATTTCTGTTTGTTTGAAATTCTACTAGCATGAAATTCAAGTGTTTCTTGTGTTTTTGGCTGTGAACACTAACTCATAAAAATATCCAAAGTGGTGCACTCCAACCTGAGAGTCAGAGCTGACAGTATTGATTTGCACTGGATTCACACTGAGCGTGTGGGCAGGGGTGTAAAGACCAGCTGTTTCTCATTGCCTAGCTCTTGAATCTTCTGTATGTTAAGAACTGCTAGTGCAACCTTGATGGGATATGCTGGAATTCAGTTTTGAGTTCTGTGCTTGCCTTTAAAAAAAACAGTACTGTATTTTATACTGTCATCTTTTAGTTGGAAAGTTCTCACTTAGCTCTTCATAAACTACAATCATTGTTCTTATCAGAGTACTCTGATAAGTTTACTTTAAATTTACTTTAAAGTAAATTTTACTTTAAAAGAGACATACCTAGATGCATTAAATGTATTCTTAAGAAATGATATTAACAGTTCTGAATCCCCTCTTGAACATTGGATGGGTAAAAGGAAGCTGTATTGATGTGGTATAGATTGTGCCCTGACTCTTTTAGATCAATCAGGCAGGACCAGCAGGGGGAATACTTCCTCTGGCTAAAGGATAAGTTGACCTTAGGAAAGGGAGCTTGTAGCAAATATCCTTTTGGTCTTGGCTCCCAGTAAAAAATTCATTATTTAAGGTCTACCTACTCTGTCTAAGAATCACCTTTGGCTGTGTGACACACAATATGACACTTGTAGTGAGGGAGATTTTTTTGTTTGGCACCTCTTCCTGCTCTGGCAAGGCCTGTAGCCAGATCAACAGCTGCAAAAAGGAAAAGGTTTCTGCTGGCACACGGCAGTTACAGATTATTCAGATATCATCTTGCACTGGCCCCAGGATGGCCTGTTAGTTCAAGCTCTAAAAATAAACAACTATTAATCACCAAATGGCAAGATGAGTTGACCAGCACTTTGGCAGCCTGGACCTCAGTTTAACCTTACTCAAAATCTTGCTTCATGTTTTCTGTCACTGTGGCAGTTCACAGCCTGGCATTCCTTTAAAGTCAGACAGTTACAAGCTTAACTAAATGTTTGCTTCAAATTCTTCTCAATGATGACATATAGTTTGAAACCTGGAGAAATTAGACAATGGAGGGCTTTTATGCAGCCTTCCAAGAATAGGTTAGGAGTCATGAAGGATATGAAGTAAAACTAAGGAATAAGGAACAGTTTTGTGGAGGAAAGGAGTCTTCAGTGGAATCTTCTTCCAAGGTAGAATTTAGTCTGGAAGGGGGCGGGGGCGGGGGGTGATTTGTGTTGTTCTGTAGCTCTATGACAAGTCACGTTTTCAACATCACCGCTTTAAAAATTGGTAAGCAAATTATGTCTTGATGTGTCATAATGTATGGTCCACTTTACTGACTGACTAGGATGCAAGGGCTGCCATTCATCTGGGTTTTTATTATTCCTCAGCAAATCCTTTTTATTATGGCAGACATTTAGACTTACAGTGACTTATCAACTGCAGAGTTTTGTCAATTAAACACATGTGCTGATGAATAAAAGCAAATAAAAATCACACAGTCCCACCTCTGGATATTGGTGTCCTGTGCAAATGGAGTTTCCAAGCTGGCAGCTTGAGTGGAAGAAGCCAAGGGGCTACATATAGCCCATGGGGGGCCCTGAAGGAGCAGTGCCATTGCTTAGTCTATGATGCTACTGGATGTGATGCTACCTGGTCTCTAGAAGCAGGAAGTTGCTAACTAACTAACTAACTTATACTAACTAATGCTGCCCATTGGACCATCTGAACAATATTGCCACACTGAGTGGCAGTGGCTCTCCAATAATGTTTCCTAACCCTATCCGGAAAGGCCAGGATTGAAGCAGGGACCTTCTTCATACCAAGCATGTGCTCTCCCACAGCTATAGCCCTTCCCCTTTCTCTAGTTGGTGGTAATGAGCAG